TGTGTGTGTGTGTGTGTGTGTGTGTGTGAGTGAATGTGTGTGTGTGTCACACCATTCTCGCCTTATTAAGCATCAGCTCTTGGCTAAGCTCGGTCCTCCTTGCGTGTGTGTCTTGACAATTTTCCGTTTTTACGGTGTCTCTGTCCTACTTTTCACATTTTTATTTCCACCCTCTCTGTATATCTCTCTCAGTCTCTCCATATCTTTCATTCTCCATCTTTTCTCCTATCTTTCTGTTTATATCATGGCTGTCTCTTAGTCATCTCTCTGTCTTTCTCTTTCTCTCCTTCCCCTATCTATTCCCCTCATCTCTTTCTTAATTTCTCCCCTCTGTCTTTGTCTTCTTTTTCACTCTCCGAACATCTGTTTCTCTCTCTTTCTGTGTTTCTCTCTAATTTCTCTCCCCCCATTCTTTCATTTGTTCTCCCTCTTTCCCTTGCTTTCTCTATTTGTTTTGTCTCCCCATCACTAATCTTCTGTTTCTCTCTTTCTTTCTCCCTCAAATCTTAATTTTACTCTTTTGCTTGCTCTCCATGTCTTTATTTCTCCCCTTCCTATTTCTGTTCTTTCTCTCCATCTCTCTTTCTTTGTCTCCTATAAAACCCCGTGTCCCTGTGATGAAAGTGTGTGAAGTAATGTCTTTGTGTCTCATATAAACAGACACTGTTTAAATGAGTACTCTGCATATGTGTGTGTGTGTGTGTGTTCAGTGTAACAAACGCAAAACTAGTTTTGTAAATAAGTTTTCCAACTTGTAAAATATTGAAATAAAGGAATATAATATTTATACTTCTATGTAAAGTGTATTTGTGATTCTTTGCATCCAGGCTTCTGCCTTCCTTCACATTGGATCATGGTGTGTGTTGGTATCCTCACATAAGATTTACTACTTTTAAGACTTTTCATTTAAATATATAAATATATCTGGTGTGTAACATGATGTAAAATAGTTTAAAACAATCAATTGTATATATATATAAAAAAAAAAAAAACAGAATAACTGAAATGTATTAAATTAAATCCAGTTACTGACAGATATAAAGATTACTCAATTTTATTATATATACTTTTTTTTTACACAATTGAAGAGCACATATTAATCATTATTATTGCTGTGCAAGTTATTCATGGTGGATTTTTTTTTTTCTTTTAGGTCTAAACCACGACCTCTACGTGGCAAACTTTAATCTAAGTGTGATGACTGAGCTACATCTAGTGTTCACACACTGTAATTACCCCTCAGTAGAATAAAATAATTAGATAAACGTGATAAAAAGTGATTTAAAGACAAATGGCCTGTTGGTTGGTGTTTGAATTTATGGTATATTCTCATAGGGTCCAGGTTACACTTCATTATTGTATAGAGTTACAGCTGAGTGCAGAAGTTTGCATCCCCCTTAGTGGGTGAAAAAATGAAAAAATGTGCTTCTGTTATACATTTTATTTACAAAGAAAACACTTTGATGTTCATTTAATGGTGTCACATCACATCCAGCCTCAATTCTCTTTATTTGTAAGCTCAAAAGTGTACACACACAGTTGACATACTCTGTTAAATATATTTAAATAATCCTCATTAAAGCGTCTAATGATTTAAACCAGTCAGCCCATGATTATATTATATTGCTCAAACTGTCAAGAGTTAACTGGAGTCATAAAAACAGCTCATCACATTAATTTGTCGTCCTGACAGATACAGAGGCCACGCCTCCTTCACTGGGACTGACAGGTACAGAGGCCACGCCTCCTTCACTGGGACTGACAGGTACAGAGGCCACAAGTATTGGGGCCATGCTTCTGTCATGGGGACTGATAGTTACTGAGGCCACGCCTCCATCACGTGGACTTATAGGTAGAGGGGCTACACCTCCTTCAGTGAGACTGACAGGTACAGAGGCCACGCCTCCTTCAGTGAGACTGACAGGTACAGAGGCCACGCCTCCTTCAGTGAGACTGACAGGTGCAGAGGCCACGCCTTTGTCATGAGGACTGAATGTTAAAGGCGAGCTCACAAAACTGGAGATTGGCATAAAACATTGCTGTGACGAGGGAGACACCCACTAACAACGAAAACCATCATTCAAAATGGATAAAAGAGAAATAAATACGAAAGAAATATAACCGAAATAAAACAAATGAAAAAAATTAAAAAAAAATAAAATAAAATAAAAAAGACAAACAGAAAACAGTCCTTAGAGACAGGTGAAATAAAATATCTATGTCACATTCAGTCTTTATTAATTTCCCCTTGGAATCAATAAAGTCTTATATTATCTTATCTTATTATTGAACTATTATGTTATATTAATATATAAGATAATATCTTATATTATCTTATTATTGTTTCAGTATTCATATCTTTACACGCACAACTGCCCATGTGTAATGCTGATATTGAAGGAAACAGCAACAAACTCGCATTTACATATTTGGTTGGTTTCCTCATTTCAAAGAAAGGGTGTGTAAATTTTTGCACTAAACTATTTATAGGCTTAAAGAGAATTCAAACCTCTCGGCTGTCATAGCAGCACAAAAACACGATGCCTACGGCAACAATATTCTTCATGTGTTGCCAGATTGGACACTTTCACGCTATTTTAATTGACGCTGGATTTGGAATGGCCTTAACATATCATTAGATGTGTTTCCACTGTGGTTCTGTTAAACACAGCTTTCATGATGTTTTCACAGTTGCATGCATGAGGCACAATTACATGCTTCGAGCTGACTTGACACTTGTGTAAAAGCAAAAGCATGGTGGAAACATTACACTTTGCCACCCAACTTACATTGAGGAGGGTTATTGTGTTAACTGTTTGGCCAATCAGTGACTTACAGCACAGCAAACTCCATCCCGAATAGTGCTTTTTCCACAGAAATGTACAAAATCTGGAACTAACATCAGGTCTGGTTTCTCTGGTAGGAATCCCAGACCAATCCTAAGATGTTTTTTTTTCTTAAAAATCAGATTTTAGTTATCACATTTTAAACAAATATAAAGGTAAATCTGTGTGACTCATATGCACTTAATTATATGGCTCAAGTCTTGATGTGGTCCTGTAGTTTAACAAAAATAAATAAATAAATAATTTATTCCACAGCACTGTTGAATTCTCAATTCTGACTGGTCAGAAGGTGTTGATTAATTTTCTATACCAGCAGCTCTGACATGGTATCATTTCTATACTAACAGCTCATTCACAGTGACTTGTGTGACAGATGATGTACATAATCTAAGGCTAATAATAAACAAATATATTTTTTAAGTGTTTAAAGTGTTATTTAACAAAGAAAATGTCTAACTGTTGAAATGGTGAAGTATTCTTTTAGGAGATGTTAATTTAACATTTATGGAAGAAGCCTCCTGTGCAGAGGCGGACTTAGCACAACCGCCTTGGGCTCCCAGAAGCCAAGGGCCCCTAAAAATGCAAATTATATATATTTTTAATTATTAATGCTAAATAACATATGCTGAAAATTTAACTATGGATACACTGAAATGAGGGCTCTATTCCCATATTTTGTCTAGGGCCCCCAAACCTCTAAATCAGCCCCTGCTCCTGTGTCAGTACTTTGAAACAGTCAGTACGTTTTCCATTACAGTAAAGTCTTCAGGACTGAGGACTTTGTGCTTTCTGGTTTATTGTAACATGACCAGCTGTGTTTTTATTCCTCATATAAACTTCAAGACTGGTATAAGGAAAGACTTCTTATATCTCCTATAACGTACACTGATCAGCCACAACATTAAAACCACTGACAGGTGAAGTGAATAACACTGATTATCTCATTACAGTGGCACGTGTCAAGGGGTGGGATATATTAGGCAGCAAGTGAACATTCAGTTCTCGAAGTTGATGTGTTAGAAGCAGGAAAAATGGGCAGACGCTGCGACTTTGAAAAGGGTCAAATTGTGATGGCTAGACTACTGGGTCTGATCATCTCCAAAACAGCAGGTCTTGTGGGGTGTTCCCGGGATGCAGTGGTTAGTACCTACCAAAAGTAGTCCAAGGAAGGACAACCAGTGAACCGGCGACAGGGTCATGGATGCCCAAGGCTCACTGATGCTCATGGGGAGCGAAGACTAGCCCGTCTGCTCCGATCCCACAGAAAAGCTACTGTAGCACAAATTGCTGAAAAAGTTAATGCTGGCTATGACAGAAAGGTGTCAGAACACACAGTGCATCGCAGTTTGCTGTGTATGGGGCTGCGTAGCTGCAGACCGGTCAGAGTGCCCATGCTGACCCCTGTCCATTGCTGAAAGCACCTACAATGGGCACGTAAGCATCAGAACTGGACCAGGGAGCAATGGAAGAAGGTGGCCTGGTCCAATGAATCACGTTTTCTTTTACATCATGTGGACGGCCAGGTGCGTGTGCTTCGCTTACCTGGGGAAAAGATGGCACCAGGATGCATTATGGGAAGAAGGCAAGCCGGCAGAGGCAGTGTGATGCTCTGAACAATGTTCTGCTGGGAAACTTTGGGTCCTGGCATTCATGTGAATGTTACTTTGACACGTACCACCTACCTAAACATTTTTGCAGACCAAGTACACCCCTTCACTGCAACAGTATTCCCTAACGGCAGTAGTCTCTTTCAGCAGCATAACGCGCCCTGCCACACTGCAAAAATTGTTCAGGAATGGATTGAGGAACATGACAATGAGTTCAAGGTGTTGACTTGGCCTCCAAATTCCCCAGTTCTCAATCCGATCGAGCATCTGTGGGATGTGCTGGACAAAAGTCCGATCCATGGAGGCCCCACCTCGCAACTTACAGGACTTAAAGGATCTGCTGCTAATGTCTTGGTGCCAGATACCACAGCACACCTTCAGAGGTCTTGTGGAGTCCATGCCTCGACAGGTCAGAGCTGTTTTGGCGGCACAAGGGAGAGCTACACAATATTAGGCAGGTGGATTTAATGTTGTGGCTGATCAGTGTAAGCGATAACAGGAACTGTTAACTGTTAATCAGTTAAAAATTGTGATCACTGGCTGTAGGGTGCTGGTGGCTTAGTGGTTAGCATGTTTGCCTTGCATCTCTGGAGTTGGGGGTTCGAATCCCACTTCCGCACTGCGTGTGTGGAGTTTGCATGTTCTCCCCGTGCTTCGGGGGTTTCCTCCAGGTACTCCAGTTTCCTCCCCTATGTCTAAAGACACGTGTTGTCTATACTGTGTATGATTGTGCCCTGTGATGGGTTGGCACCCCATCCAGGGTGTCCCCCTCCTTGTTCCCTGGGATAGGCTCCAGGCTCCCCCGCGACTCTGTGTAGGATAAGCGGTACAGACAATGGATAGATATCACTTATATCACTGCTTGTCGTATAAGAGGAATAAAAAAGTTCAGGATGTGCTGTTATAGGAAACACAAAGGAAAGGTAACACTAACTGCTTCATCATTTTCAATAGCAAGTGTTATTTAGATCAATGGTTACTTATTATATATTTTAAATTTAACGTTATTTTTTATAGTTTGTTAAATTATTGAACATCTACGAGTAGGTTTATAGCAAATTGTTAATAGTGAAGCTTCAATAGTTAATAGTGAAGAATTTTAAAACGGGTTTCCATGCAAATCTGGCAACCCTGCTTCCAAGCGCTGCTTGACGTTAGCTTAGCATCAGCTAAGATTTTGGAGCTAATGGATGGAGTTAGACAGGTCAACATTATATTTAAAGTAAATGCGTTAATATTTCGAAAAGTTGATTTTCTCTAACTTTAATGGTACCTCAGAAAGTCAGAACGCAGTCTTTTAGCACAGTTTTTAGACATGGCTAGCTGACACAGCAGGATAGTCGGCTAGCTTGTGTATTGAATCGGGCTAGATTTGCTAACGAGTTGCTAACTGTAAATTAAAATAATAATAATAAGGTTGCCTAGCAATTAACTGCTAATTTATAATAAACTGTTCTATGATTATATTGCCTGCGTGCGCTAATTAGCCAGTTTGCTAGCTCACTTAGCTAGACAGTTAATTAACGAATTTTTGTGTTTGTTTGTTTATTATATGCATTATGTTTTTAACATAATATTTATTCTCAGTAAATTATATTGTATTAATGAGATTAAACTGTTATCCACTTTTGAAAGACATGCCTTAATAAAAGAAAAAAAGAAAAAGAAAAATGGTCACTGCAGCTGAATCCCCTAAAGCTAGCCGGCTAGGCTAGGCTAGGCTAAGCTAAGCTAAGCTAAGCTAAGCTAAGCTAAGCTAAGCATCCATAAGGAAGAAGAGCTGCCAGTCGGAGCGGCGGAGCGTCAGATGCTCGCGCTGAGCTGATCAGCGAGACTCTCGCGTTACTCCTGCTCCGAGAAGCTGGATGAAAATGGCTAAAATTCATATCCAAGGAAACGGATTGCAGGCTAAAGATGGGAAAAGTCTGCGGGGCACGACGGAGAGTTTAGCCGGACAGGAAGGCGACTCTCTGGGCTCCGAGTTGGAGCTGAACGGCTTCACCGAGACACAAGCGGATAAATACGGCTTCATCGGCGGATCTCAGCAGAGCACCGTGAACCCGTGAGCTATTTAATAGTTTATTATTTCATCTTTCATGATTAAAACCCTGATTTACTCTTACTTTGCTCTTAGGAATTAAAACACTCTAGAAGACATGTGCACGGTTACACTCAGTTTCTGGAGTGGCGTGCAAAAGTTTGTGCACCCCTCTTCTTTTCTGGGTCAAAGCATGTATCTCAGTTTTAATTTACTTACTAAACAGTGTTGATTTCAATTTCAGTAAAAATAAAACTATTACAGTACACATCCTATATGCTGTAGCAGCTGCTTTTAAGTCAGTATTTATTTTTATTAATCATCTTTAAAGCTGCATCCTTGCTGACATGCTCTAGTACCGTGGTTCTCAAACTGGGTTCTGGGGAGACCCAGGGGTCTGTGAAGGAAAGTCATCCATCCATCCATCCACTGAGTGAGTGAGTGAGTGATTGGATGGATGGATGGATGGATGGCTGGATGGCTGGATCAGTCATTATCCTTGTCAGGGTCACGGTGGATCCCGAGTCTATTCCCAAAACACTAGGCATGAGACGGGAAAACACCCTGGTTGGGATGCCAGGACATCTCACTCTCTCTCTCTCACACACACACACACACACACACACATGCAAATTCACAACTGGAGCAAATATGTAGTAGTCAAATCCACATCTACTGGCATGTGTTTGGGAGTTGGGAGGAAACCGGAGAACTGGGAGAAACACATGAAACTGCAAACGAATAGAGTAACCTGAGCTCAAGAGCTGTGAAGTGGCAATGCCATTAATTATTTTCCTATAACAGCAGGAACCAAGTGTTTTATTTCTTAAATAAAAACTGTACTGAAGTGTTCAGTAGATTTTTTTTTTTTTTTTTTTTTTTTTACATTTGAGGAGTCCCCAGCTGCAAAAAGTTTGAGAACTTGCTCTCATTAAATTTACCTGAATGAGTTTTATTAATATGTCTAATCACTTAAGAGTCAGTGTGGTTACTTTAAATCAGGTTAAGGAATATCCATATGTCTAAAAAAAAAGGTGACACAAAATCGACATATAAATAAATGAAATGTCTCCATAAACCCTGATATCTAACATTACGCGGGTAATCAGTATCCAGCAAGCTGGTTGTCAGCAAAACTAGTTGTCATGTGAGTAAAGTTAGGGAATTAATTGTTGACTTGAGAACATATGTGTACACGTTTGATGAGAAGACAAACCTGTAGGACAAGCTCGAGGTTCAAGCCATCATCTGTATGTGAGCATTGTCCGTGTCCACATTATTAAAACAGGAGACCAGGTGCTGCACCTGCTCTGAGCCAGTAAACAGCAGCAATCAGGCGCAGATTCCCTACAGCTCGCTCACGCTCTGGTGGATGTGGTTAGCTGTGGTTAGCTTAGATAGTCACGTACACAACACACTGGGACAGACTCATCTATAGGCGGTTCATGCATTTGTTTTTTAATGGGTTACTGGGCCTCATTGTTCTATCAGGACTTGTCACGGTGCCATGGTTAATACTGCAGGCTGGAAACATTAGCTAGATAGATATGATTGTAGATACAGTACACAGCTATTTAAAGAGACAGACATGTAGATAAATATATAGACAGAGAGATATGTACCTATCTACATCTGTAAGTCTCTGTCAATCACTTCATCTAAACAGCACAGTATTACGTTATTATATAGAACACACTGGAAAAGGTTTGAGTATATAAAGGGACGTTGATATAAAGCAAGTTAACGTCCATCACTTTTTTTTTGCTACATCTGTCTAAAGACGCACTAATTCTATCTGGTGTTATGTGTAATGAACTGATACAGCATGGTAATTACGCAAACGTGGATTTGGCATCATGTTTTTACACTTTTTTTTTTTTAATTATGAATGAACTGACAAAACTGATGTAATGATGTAGCTCGTAGCACTTGTTGCAAAGAGGAGGGCGGGTGCTAACACCATACAGTGAATCATGTTTGGCTTTTCTAAAACAACACACAACACTTCCCAGGCTCTGTAGTTTCTCTCTGACTGTTCCAAACTACTTCTCAGACTTGCACATGAAAGCTTCTTTGTACCCTGAAAATCCTTCCTCTTTGTCCATTTTCCCAGCCATGACCATGATCAGGAACATCCCAGTGGTTGTGCGGGTGAAGATTTATGAGATGTTAGGGCTGAATCATTTGAATGTTCATTTAAATATAAGTTTAGTATTCAGAAGCTTTGTCTATGTCTTCATACTCTCTGTATAAGTGCACTACGTAGACAGTGGAATAATGGTTTCTTCACTGTAAGTAGTGCACTATAACTTTCAGGAAGAAGGTCATGTGACCTAAATCATATACTGGTTCATGACAACTCTTGATTGAAGACAACGTCAGACATGAATCTTTTGATAAGAATTGTATTCTAATACAAAAATATGTTGTTGAAAAGATCACACCTGCCATTTTGTCAATTTTATTGCCAGTTTCTATCCATCAGCCAGCTTCCCCCTATCATACGGCACCTACCAACTGGGGAGGGTGAAGACTAACGTATAATCTACTCTGAGACACGTGAAGCCAGCCAACTGCATCTTTTTCAAACTGCTGCTCATGCAGCATCACAGGGCGGCGTAACATACCCAGAGGAGAGCGCTATCCACCCTCTTCCGCATACATGAACTCACAGATGTGTACGATGTAGTGTCACTGTGATTGACAGGAGAGACAGCCCAGCCTCCCAGAGAGCCCGGCCAATTTTGCTCCCACCCACGGATGGCTGTAGGATCATCAGGATTCAGATTTGTGATCTCTGGGCGAATGATTTTTTTCTGTTGCACCATTCGGAAGCATATAAAATAGTTTTTGCAACAAATCAAATGTATTATTGCTTTGAAAAATTTATTTAAAAATGTTGGAGGACTGAAAGTCAGATGCACTATTTTTAATTTTACTGGTATTGCTGTTGCAAAACTATGTGAATGTGTACGACCCTTACCCTGTGGGCTAGTTATTAAGTTCCCAAACAATATTAAGGCTATTGTTGATGTTTATTTTAACCACAGCTTACGGATCGCACCATCAGATGTAGTGTCTTGTCTTATTGTTGGTTTATATGCACGTTATTGACTTTCTGTTTGTGTGATTGTGTAACTGGATATATTTTGAACTGCAGTAACGAACATACTTAAAATTATGGTTCATTTATGAAACATAAATATTGTTTTTAAGGGTGCTTTTAGAAACACCAGCTAATATCCGAAGCATGTAAGTGCTGCTTGAACCAGCCCTAAACGGCGTACAGTCTTTCTGTGTGTTAAAGTGCACTGTGACGGGTTGTCGTTTGTGTTATTTGTATAGAGTTTGGCGAAGATCGTCAGAATAATAGATTTGGACACTGTACCATTAACATTTACATCCAATTCATGAGATCAGACGTTTCTGAATTAGTCCTTAATTTTTCAGTCTTCAGTCATTACATTATGATGCCCATTTCCTCATGGAAACCAGACGTTAGACACGATCTTCTATTTGGTATAATGACTGAAGTGGGTTTCCAAACAGCGCAGCTTTGTTGTTACCAGCAAGGCCTGGACTT